GCCCGGCCTCCCACCAAGGCTGCCCTGCCTGGCTTCCAGGAGGCCAGAGTTGGAATTCCAAGAAAGTCAGGTTTGGCATCCATCCTTTCCTGCAACCCAGACAGCCACTGGGCCGGCTTCCGGAGCGCAGGCCGTGATGTGTAGCTGATTTATTTTATCCGAGGTGATCTGCAATTTCCTTTGTGTGAAAACCTATCCCCTGGAACAAGAGAATGCTTGCAAGCCCAGGCAGAGAAAACAGGCCAGAATCCAGAATCCTCTGCAGAAAACCCACCCTGAGCTAATTATCTTGCCACAAAGTTTACAAGAAGAAAAATGTATTACAACTAGCTTGTTGATAGAACACTGCATCTTTTTTTTTTTAATGTTTATTTTTATTTTTGAGAGAGACAGAGCATGAACAGGGGAGGGGCAGAGAGAGAGGGAGACACGGAATCCGCAGCAGGCTCCAGGCTCTGAGCTGTCAGCACAGCCCGACGCGGGTTCGAACTCACTAGCCGTGAGATCACGACCTGAGCTGAAGTCAGATGCTTAACCCACTGAGCCCCCCAGGCACCCAGGTGAAACACTGCATCTTACGAAAGGGTGTTGTCTGTTTTGTTTCGTTCCCAGGATGCAGACACGGGCACAGGAGAATCCAGCAAGAGGAGGAACCCCCACTACCTTTCCCGGGAGGCCTCGGAAGACAGTGACGTGTTCGGTAGGTGACACGGAACTTGTAGCCGTGGCTTCGTGTGACATCTGTGTGCACTTGCACTCATTGAGGGCTGGTTTTAATTTTATTGTTACATGAGTAATCCATGGCTCTGTTCTCAGTATTAAAACTGCAGACCCCCTAGAAACGTGGAGGTAAGCCCCCTTCATTAGCCACCTGCTGTCTCTTCTCCCCAACCACGTGACCACCCTGGGGGCCTGTCCCCTTCGGGTTCTTGTGTTGTGTGCCTGTCTGTACACAGAGGCCAGAGACTTCCCACGTGTATCCTCACTATACAATATTTCTCTCATCATCTGTTTGACCAATTGGGGGTGGAAAACCTAACGGTGCCGGTGAAAAATATCCAACAGGGAAGTGAAACGGTCCCAAAGCCCAGATAGTTCAACCACCAGGAATGACTCAGGAGGCGTTGGAAAATAACCGCTTTCTATCAAAGTGTACATTTTGTGGAGCCCAGCTGACACACGTCGCCGTTACATACGTTGTTCATTTCCATTTCTGTGCCCACCCCCCGCCCTGAGAATAAACGAGTTCTCATCTGATTTTACATGGAAAAAACTCCCCTTTCCCATGTGACCACGATGCTCGGTGATGCCCCCAAGGTCACACAGCCAAGCAGATCTGTCCACGTGCCTTACTGTGTTCTCTTCTCCAAGAATTGCCAAAGAGGTGGGGACAAGGGGGGCAGCAGGGGACCGGCCAGGACCCTGAGGGCGCAGGGTAGAGGGGAGGGGAGGAGAGCGGTTTTCTGGCTACAGAAGTAAGCGCCCCCTGCACCTGCTCATCATGGCTCTCCTGGCCGACAGCCTCTCGCCACGTTCCCTGGCCTGGCCGCAGCTTACTTACGGAAAGGGCTTCTTTGTCGTTTGATTCTCGGGCAGGAAAAGCCACCCCAATTTTTTTGTTCCTGATCTGCTTGTTCTTTTTCAAAAATCCCTTCTGTTCCTGTGATCCTGCCCTGAGTAAGCGCTCGTAATTACACAAGTCCCACTGCCCATTTGCTCAGTGTCTTAAACTGTAATGAAAACCAGCACAACCCAGAGGCCCAGAGACGGAAAACCAGGAAGATTCGTTTAACGGAAACCAGTCAGATACTGCCACAGGAATCAATACCCGCCTGGGTGGACGTGTTGCGCGTCGATTTTCACGGGAATTGGGCGGAGGGGCATAGTCCGCTGCCTTCCAGGTGGGGTCTCCAGGCCTTAGAGGCAGCTCTCGAGCGAGGCGCCCCCCACAGGTGTTGTGAATGCAGAGGGAAGGCAGTCTGCAGATTTGAAGGGAATGTCCGAGCGTCGATGATTTCGAGAATAAGTCCGTCTCTGAACCTCTAACACAAAGGTTCCTCTCGACTCTCTCTCTCCTCCTATATTCCAACTGCATATGTATATACACACGTAAAAGAAAATGACAATATAAAAATGTCCAAATTTAAGCTTTCTATATGATAAGAATACCTTTTGGAATGATTTGGCTAAGCTTACTTGTTTTTATTTTTTAAAGTTTATTTACCTATTTTTGAGAGAGACAGAGTGGTGGGGGGAGGGGCAGAGAGAGGGAGGGAGAGACAGAATTCCAAGCAGGCTCCACGCTGTCAGCACAGAACCCAACATGGGGCTCGAAACCACGAACTGTGAGATCATCACCTGAGCCAACACCAAGAGTCGGACCCTCAACTGAGCCACCCAGGCGCCCCGAAGCTTACTTATCTTTAAAGCAACCACCACCTTCCTCATCGTTCCCCTGGTTGTTTTCAGAACAGTGGTCCCAGAGGGAGGGTTTGGACAGTGGTCCCAGAGGGACACTTTGGACAATGGCTGCCTGCAGTTGACGGTGAAAGCCAGCAGAGATGCTGCCGTTTCAGTCATGTGACAAACTTAGATTTGTCTCCCGGTGGGAAGAATAACGACACAGGCCCCCTCCGCCTCTTGTGTTTACCGTGACTTCTGGGGCCTAGAGCCCTGGAGACGCTTACGGATGTGGGGTCGACAGCCACCCTCACGTGGTCAGGAAGCAGCTCCCGAATCATCACCTCGGCACGTGCGGCTCACACTGGACCCAGGCCGAGTCACCGCAGAGGGAAGCGCGGGGAGCCCGCCCTCTGACCTTGAGTAAGGACGGCCCAGGGGCCTGCTGGCTCCCACTGTTCTGTGCTCAGCAAGACTGAAGACGCAGACAAGGCGACCCCGCAGAGCGGCTGGGCCCCTGCTTTCGACTTACGAGAGTCTCCCACCCGTAACCCGTCCGCAAAGGAACCCCAGGCTGGAGGGGCAGAGTGACAGGGAAAAGAGAAGCAAACGTGATCTTGGCTCCCGGTCTTGACTGTATAATCTCAGGAAATACATATGAGAACTCATTCTAAATTACAAAGTGTTCGGGGCACCCGGAAAGCGTCCGACTTCGGCTCAGGTCATGATCTCACAGTTTGTGAGTTCAAGCCCCGCCTCAGGCTCCGTGCTGACAGCTCAGAGCCTGGAGCCTCTTCAGAGTCTGTGTCTCCCTCTCTCTCTCTCTGCCCCTCCCCCACTTGCTCACGTGTGCGCTCTCTCTCTCTCTCTCAAAAATAAATAAGCATTAAAAAAAATTTTAAATGAATTACAAAGTGTTGTACAAATGTCACCCCAAATGAAATCGGCAGCCGTCTCCCACTTTTCCTGACTGGAAAGTACGATAAAAAGTGCAGAAGTCTCCCAAGTACGATAAAAAGCCCTGCTTTCGCGATGCTCTGTGAGCCCTGAGTCAGCGGCACCCGTTTAGCGGTAATCTCCAGGCTCCTAATGATCGTGTTGTCCGCGTGTCAGAAGAATGGTCCTTATCCCTTACCTGACACCGCTCCTGCAGGATGTACTCAAGGTCTCTGTGAATGTCAGGACAAAAGATTGTCTTACCGCGGCCGGTAGGAGCCCCGCATGGAGGACGGAACTAGAGGGGCCGAGAGAGGTTTGCGCTGACCGTGGTGCAGGTGCCCTAAGCTGCCGGCCTGCACGCCACACACTCAGAATCACCAAGGGCACAGTTAGCCCCCACCTCTGGGAAGGCCACGGCTGGTCATCTACACAGCGATGCACCCAAGATTTGTATTGACTTTTCCATTTCAAGGGAAAATCCAAATGAAGGATTGCTGTTGACCTAAGTAAATAACTCATCAGAGCACACGTACAGATCCCTTTCTGTAGTGTTTTTTTATGACAGTGTGTGGTTATACTTCAGGACTGTTTGCCTAGTTACCCGAAGAGGAAGGAAACACGGTAGCCTAGGGAACCCTGTGTTGTCTGAGCTTTGGGGAACCAGGTTGTTTTGTGGTAGGCCTGTTTTTGAGCTTTTTTTGAACCACACACCCACACGTGTCATACGTGGTCCTTGTCATCTGAAGCCCAGCCAGCAAGGAACACGTACCTCCACCCCTCCCTCCAGAGTTCACCAGCCCCAGGACTGAAACACGGGCTGGAACAATGCAGTTGCCACGAGCAGACGCCTTGGGTCTCCCTCAGTTATAGTGACAAAGGAGCAAAATCCCCAAAAGAGGGCACCCCTGCTCTTCCCAGACAACCGTGGTTCCTCCCGGACGCGACCCGCATCTCAAAAGTCCAAGCAGAAGCGACGCGGCCCCAGCACGTCAGGGAGATTCGGGTGCACCTGTGCAGCGTGTCGGGGTCCCGAGAACATCGCCTGCAGGACCCCTCGCGTGGCTGAGGGCGGACCCCTGTGCAGATCCACCACCACCTTGGTGCTCAAATGATGGAGATACAATGAGCCATGTTTAAGGCGAAGCCAAAAAGTAGTCCTACTAGAAACACTGAAGTGTATACACGTATCTGAAGTATAGATACGTGTGTGTGTATTTGTGTATCTTCATGCCACAAAGCTTGAGTTGGCTCACCCGCCAGGAAACAATACAATATAAAAAGCGCAGAGTGGAGGTCGACTAAAGTAAGACCATGGGTCTGCCTTACAGCAGTTGCTCATAGCTGGACTTCTCATTGAACCCGGAGATTCCTAGATGCCCAAATGGAAAGTGAGACCCAGTCCGTTTGTTTTTTTTTAATTTCTCCTGTTAACGTGGGAGGAAATGCGGCCGCACCACCTGTTAGCTGTGCGATCTCTGCCCGTGTGCTCATCTTGTGTCTTGGCTCCCCCCCAGGCAGGCAGGGGGGACAGCAGACGTGCCCGCAGCTTAGGAACCAGCTAGGGAACGTGCACGTGTCTGACGCTCCCGTCTGCCACCGGGACCGTCAGCCCTACCGGCAGAACCAAGGCTCCTTGCCTTCCTCAAAGGATGCGCAGCTCTGTTGAGCCAGCTGTAAGAATTTCCCTCCTGTTTAAGTTGTTGTCTCAGATAACCCTGCGGTCGTCAACAACCCTGGGGTTCTTGTCCGGCGAACGCACTGGTTAGTTGCACAGGCAAATTGAAATAAACCGGGTAACGAGCTTCCTCGTGCCCGGGCGCTCGGCGTGATGCAAGCGTCCTCCTAGTGACCTCGCCTTGTGGGTCTCCCGCATGGCCCCCTCACATGCCTCCAGGGACCTGGGCGGGGTGGGGGTGTCCCTCCTGGTGGGAAGTGTCCATAAGAGCAGGACCAGGAGGAGGAATGCTGTGCCGCAGACAGAAAGATACGTTCCCTGAGTGCTTTCACATAGCGTTAAAACAATCGTTGCTTTTTGTGGTTTCCAAGGCCTTTCCATGAGCAAAGCTCTTTGAGATGCTTTGTCGAGGAATCTTTGCGTTGAATCGATCCTGATTCGTAGATTAAGCTAGAAAACTGGTAGGTTGTAGTCCTTACTGATAGAGGGTTCTGGGTCAGCTCAGTAATAGCTCTGTGCCTTCCTGGGGACCCCTCGTTAGCTGTCTGTCTGGGGCGGTCCTCGGTGCCCTCCGAGAACGGCTGTTGCACCACCCACTCTTGGAACAGCGGCTGCTGGCTTTTGTTGCTACCTGTGGCTCAATGGCTGCCTGAGCCCTCTTACTCGTATGCGCACCAGGGACAGAA